TATCTTAAGATTTATACCCATAGAAATGTAAACACTTCACACACACACACACACACACAAAAACCACTTAGAACAGATAAACAAATTCAGTAAAGTTGCAGGATACAAAATCAACATATAAAAATTAGTAGCATTTCTATATGCCAATAATAAACAGTTTGAAAGAGGAACCAAGAAAATAAGCTCACTTGCAGTAGCTGAACATAAAATAAAATTCCTAGACAACAACATAACCAAAGAAGTGAAAGATTTCTACAGTGAAAATTGTCAAACATTGAGGAAAGAAGTTTAGGAGAATACACACACAAAATATGGAAAGATATTCCATTCTTATGAATTAGAAGAATTACTTTTGTTAAAATGTCTATAATACCCAAAACAACCTACAGATTCAATGCAATCTCCATCAAAACACCAAGGACATTCCTCCCAGAAATTAGAAAAACTAATCCTAAAATTTATATGAAACCATAAAAGACCCAAATAGCCAAAGTGATCCTGAACAAAAGAACAAAAGTGGAGAAATCACATTTATCTGACTTAAAATTATATTATAATGCTATAATAACCAAAACAAAATGGTAATGACATAAAAATAGACACATAGACCAAGAGAACAGAATAAAAAATCCAGAAAGACATCCACACATCTGTAGCAAACTTATCTTTGACTAAGGTGCCAAGAACATGCAGTAGGGAAAGGACAGTCTTTTCCATAAATGGTGCTGGAAAAATTGGATATTCATATGCAGTAGAATGACACTAGACCATTATCTCTTGTCATATACAAGAAGCAAATCAAAATGTATAAAAGCTTCAGTCTATGATCTGAAACTATGAAACACTGGGGGAATGCTTCCAGACATTGGACTTCTAAGGATTTCTTAGGTAGTACCCCTAAAACACAGACAACCAGAGCAGAATGGGAGAAATGAGATCATATCAAGCTAAAATGCTTTTCACAGCAAGGGAAGCAATTAACAAAGTGAAACAATCCATAGAATGGATGACATTACTTGCAAACTATCCCTCTGGGAAGGGATTAACAAAGTACATAAGGAGCTCCAACAAGTCTATAGGAAAATATCAAATAACCTGATTTAAAAAATGGGCAAATGATCTGAGTAAACATTTCCCAAAAGAATACATTCAAATGAATACCAGGTATATGAAAAAATGCTCAAAACCATCAGTCATAAGAAATATGCAAATCAAAACTACAATGAGATATCATTACACCTCAGATAAACGGCTTTTCTCAAAAAGGCAATAACAAATGCTAGTGAGGACATGGAGGAAGGGGAAGTCTTGTACACTGTTGGTGGTAATGTACATTAGTGCAGCCTGTATGGGAAACTGAAAACAGAACTACCGCATACTCTCTGCTGGATACATATCCAAAGGAGGTGAGGTGCACATAAAGACATGCG